AAGAGGCGCAATCCATTTAGTCCCAACCTAAATCAACAGCCTTTTACTGTGGTTATTTTGGACTGCCTTATGTCCAGGATCTGGCAGCACTTTCAACCTCTTTTCAGTTCCACACATCCAGCAAAACTCTGAGAACCAGACCTCCAGAACTGCTTTTTCACTTCCCTGGTGTCACAGTGGTTGCACATCTTTTCCAATTTGATTGGCTGCCGTTCCACTTTTCTGGAAAGATGAGATTAACCATAAAAGCACAACAAACACCTCACAATCGGGCTGACATCAATCCTGATTATGGAGCAAATATGCTTTCTGTCAAGAGTAGGAAGACTGTCGAGAATAGAGGACTGACTATCTCCTGGAACTTCAGTGCTTCGGATAATAAAACGCTGACTGCTACAACGATCAAGTTTCCCAGCAGGACAAGGGAATAGAGCTTGGCCTTTACTACACTTGCATGACAAATGAAGACAGCATTATAGCTGCAGAGGGCACCCAAATATACACTTATACGTACACATGCGAGTGTTGATAGACAAAAAACACACAGTGGCTCATACCGCACTGTTGCGGTTAATCTAGAGATTAACAGTATTATCAATCATTCTCTCTGATTCAGTGACAGGCATGCCCACTGGGAGGTAGTTGACACAGTCTGAAAGGTTTCATAAAGAACTTAGGCAAATCTCCATTTTATTCTACATGCTCACTAACATGCTGCTGCTTATTACAGTGATGATATTACATAAAATATGAAGAAATATTTTCTTCTGAATGCGCAGACTACACCTCTGTAGGCGTTTTTTTGTTTTTTCAAGCTTAGTAATGTGTATTTGTGAAACATGGATCTCTATCAGTACAGTTATTCACCATCAAAGCATGCATCCATGTCTTTCAGACTCTGCTTATGTGCACAAGATTGTGCAGATTACAGCGAAAGCACTTTAATAGATTTGTCCCACTGTTTGTGCATGCCACTTTGCATGAATATGTGTGTGGGAGTTCAGAACAGGAAATGTTAAGGTTTAGCTAGTTCCTTGGAAACAAAGGCTCCAGCAGATACGCAAGCCCTTTCTTTTTATAGGCACGCTGGGCTCATGTCTGCGTCGCCGTTGGGCTGAAGAGGAAACGTCTCAGAGCTACAACCCCCACCTTTCCCTCCATCTTCTATAGATGGCCCGACCTGCAATGCATTACAGTCAAGCAACTTTATTACATAAAAGCAATTAAGAGTAAAGCTTTGGTAGACTTGTTCCTGGACCAGTACCAAATGACAGACAATGCAATCCACACTCTTGGGCGTATTCACACTGCCATGCTAGTATGCAAGAAAAATGTGTCCCAATACATATTAGGTCAAAAACACCATGGCACAATGTTTAGACAAAGTAGCACAGCAGTGCATATATTGTGAGAGGAGGTGCAGATAAAAAGTAAAAAATAAAATTTTATCATTTGGAACGTGGGGCTGGTGCTGCTTAGCTGTGATTCTACAGTGACTCACCAACCCCATCAGCTTCCCATACCTTTCACTGCTCTCTTACAATCAGTAAATAAGTAAGACACCCCCCCCCCACACACACACACACACACACACCACCACCACCACTGTTCCTGCATTGCATGTTAGCTTCTGCCATTAAAAACCTGAGAAAAGGGTGGTGTTTTTTGAACTAACTACATCAAGTTCTATTCATTCCCAGCCCAGATTAATCAATCCGCACTGTTTCCCAGACTATTAATAAGGCATTTGAATCTGACAATAAAAGAAGAAAAAGAACCACCAACAGATTTCAAATAATGGAGTGTCCCTGCTTGCTAAAAGCTAAAAGCCTTATAAACCTTGATCTCCCAGCTCAACATTTCTTGATCTTCACTCCTGATTGCAAAAACAAAACCCTGAAATGGCCCACATGATAGAGGACCAGTAAGAAGTGCTCATTTCAGGGAACTGGCATATACCTTCTCTATTTCACTCCCCCAGTTGAAAATTGAGTCATAATTTCCTGGTGGCACTGTTCAAAGGTCACCTCCCCTCGTCTTTCTTTCTAGGTTTCCCGCCCCTTTTCCTCCTCTCCCTTTTCGAGGGCCCCTCTTCCAAAATGCCCAGCGCTGCATTCCACAGACAGTGGGAGCACCTTCAAATGCTGCATAGGCATAGCAGACCACCACTGGCAGCGGCATGCATGGAGTCTGAGCCCCAGCCTCAGCTGCCACCAACGCCTCAGCACTAGGACCCAAGCCCTGCCAAGAAGCGCTTTGACTGGGGAGAAATTGCAATGTAGCTGCAATACGGTCTGTGTGATGACAAGGAGAAAACAACTGTCTCTCTCAAGGAGCAGAGTGATAACTGTCCAGCATTAGCCACCTCAGAGTTGATGAAACCTGCTCCAAGTAAAATTCTCATGCCACAGCAGGCGTCTTGTGCGTGTGCTGGGAGGCTGGCAGCTGCAATATTGGGGCACACACCTCAGAGCACCTATTATATGACCCCCAAATCCCCAAGGTCACAACTGTGCTGACATGGAGCTCCAATTTCTGCCTCCCAAAGCTTCCCATGTGCTTGGCTCATAAAACAATAATGTTCTTGTACATGGCCTCATACAAACACAGCACATGTACAGTACTGTCAATTAATCCGTTAGCTGGCCAACACAAGATTAATGAAACAGAACCTTTTAACTTATTTCAGTGCAAAGACCTGAGAGCTTTCATGTCTTTGAAGATTCTGGTTATATAGTGTTTTTCATCCATTTCTTTAAAAAAAAGAAAAAAAGAAAAAGAGATGAGATATTAGTGTGTTTTATTTTACTTTTGGAAATTTTGAATGCAATGAAGCTGCAGGATGCAATCATTGCATTTTAGTTGCAATGGTAAAATAATTCCACAGATCTTGTTTATGTTTTTAGAAAAGCACAGTACAGATCTGTACTCGTCAGTCACTTTGTTAGACACGCCTGTTCAACTGCTTGTTAATATAAATATCTATTCAGCCAATGGCTGAATAGATATTCAGCCATTGGCTGAATTGTTTTGACCTTGTAAACATGGTCAAAACAACCTGCTTAACTACAAATCAAGCATCAGAATGGGGAAGACTGCTTGTAGCTAATAGGAAGGCAAGACTAACTCATCTAAGTTATGAAAAGAGCATCTCCATATGAACAACATGTTGAACCATAATCAGAAGTTGACGCAAAGAACATAAAAGCACGTGTGGCAAGCAAGTGTGGGGATTATTTGTTGTTGCTGACCACATCTATCGCTTTATGACCAACATCACAGGAAGTTCACTGTATTCAAATGGTCTCCAAACTCACTATCTCAGTCCAATAGAGCACATCATGGATGCGCATACGATAACGCTGCAGCATTTTGGTGCATATTAACATGAAAACAACAAGGTGTAACAATGTACTGAAATGTTTCCAGCACCTTGTTATATCTAAGCCACAAAGATTTAAGCTGGTTCTTCAGGCAAAAGGAAGTCCATTCTGGTACTTGCAAGGTGTACCTAATAAAGTGGCAATTGGGTATACATTGCTAGAGAGAAGCTTCCAGAGCCAAATGACCCTCTCACCGTAGGAGTTGACGGTTCAGGTTTTTCCTTTAATGTGTCACTCTGTGTATATTATATATATTGTGTGTGACTACACAGTGAGTTCACCCATCCTTTCTTACCATGGTGATGTTATCCAGCTATAACCCTGATTCCTGATCTCTATGTTGCTAAGAAGAAAAAACTGTTGAACTAATGGCAAAAACTAGCCAAGTTTTAATATATGAAGGATAATTAGGAAATTCTTAATTTTCCTGTTTTGACGTGTGTGAACAGAGAGGTACTACTGTATGTCTTCTGCTTTTGGCTGAGCTCCATATTGGTACCTGTGCTGTGATTATCAACACACACATCTGGATGGACTTAGAAAGAAATCCTATAAAGACCCTAATGGGCTCTTCAAACATTTCTGAAGACTGATTAAGAGCCGTTTCAGATCTTGTTCACATCAGTGAGCTCCATCTGCAATTTATTGTGTTTTGACTGAATTCGTCATCTACTTTTCTTGTTCCCTTTCAGTGTACTGGAGTTTGTTTTGTTTGTTTGTTTGTTTGTTTGTTTGCAGATAATGTGCTGCATCGCTGAATATTTTCTTATATGGCAGTTTTAGATAAACTGCCATATAGTGGCAGTGCTCCGTCTCTGTCAACCTCAGCATACATGGTGATCCTATGTACTCTGTGGCATAGCAGGGATTTTAAGTGCCCAGCTTCTGGCTTCATGCAAAATTTCTTACAGCATGTTAGCAAACTCTTTGTTATTAAAACGTCACTCACCTTACTTAAGGTGACATTACAGACAAATTTACAGCAAGCAGCAATAGGCCTCACTTCGTCCCCTTAAAGGCTTGTTTGTCTCCCACTAGCATGACCTTTGTGTTTTATAAGGGGAACTAACACCGTGGGCTACATTTGTTACATATTAGGCTTCCTGGCGCTGTAAAGTTGACACCGACCACTTCAACTGGTGTACCAAAGAATTTCATTGATACTGTTTAATTAACTAAGTCAGCTGATAACCAGGTGCTGTAACCACTGCTGCGGTTTGTTAACAGGAGTTTATACAGTCGCTGTTACAAAAACAGCTAGGTTTTCTTACCGTCTTAAACCTTCATTTGCTTCTAAGCAGATTGGTCACTGGAGTTTCTGGAAGCAAAAAGGACAAGGCTGCAGTTGCTGCCACTTTACCGCAAGATGTCACCATGTGCAACACTTCGCTAATGCTGCCTTTCAATGCCTATGTGAAATTGTATTACTGGCTTTTAAGAGGAAGAAATACAAATAGAGTATCAAAAATAACAACATCAAACTGAATCTAGTTAATTAGCAAAAACAAGAAAAGCGTGAAATTACAGATGGGTATTGCTGCATCTAGTAAAGCCGTGACAGTCTTATTTAACAACTGTTTTGTCCGACAGGACGTGAAGGCACATTAAACCCGGACATGACAGCACAGGAACCAAAGTTTGGCTAGTAGCGGTAGCCGTAGCTGTAGCACAACATCTCTGCTGCTTTTCCTATCCTAAATAAGAAGCTTCAGGAGGCACTTTATCCTGTGTTTCAATAATTTTGGCGTTGGTATGGAGTTGTAGGCTGAATTTATAAACGGAGGTAATTGTCTTAAAATTGTTTTTGTTACTCACCTGGGGACATAAACTGTTTATTATATGGGATACACGCTTTGCCTCCAAAGTGCTCTTTGTAGCGGCTAGCTAGGAATAATAAAATCATGTTACAAAATTTCCAGAAACAGTGTGTTGTTGCGGACATTAAATACCGATCTGTTAATAACTGGCTGCGATTAATGCATTGTTGTAGTCTACTATAAAATTGATATTTTGACCAGCTAATACTACCTGCTGAGTTGTTAAGTATATTGAATATAGTGGTATTAAATGTTAAAAGATGAGACAGAAAAGGCCAAACGTGTTGGCAATAGAATTAGTACAGTAAACTCAAGGTACCGGAGAGCGAATAATCAAATAAAAAAAAGCTTTGTAAAGCATCCTTGTGCTGTCTGGTTTCTCTCTCAGTATTGAGGAATGGTCTGACTGCAGCAGCAAATATGCTTAGCCGTCTGCAGGAGTTAAAGAAGGAAGAGGAGACTCTTCTAAAAATCAAAGTCATGCTACAGGACCAACTGAACAGGTTAAAGGTCAGTGCAAGCTGCAAAATACAAGCATGCTGGAATTTGTGTACATACCTGTAGTTTATGTCCTGTGTGCTTCTTCTGCATTTCAGTTTGAAGAGGGGGCCCTGAAGTCTATTATTAATGCTCAAACAGAAGAAGGAACCTCTCAACGCTTATCGCCCGAACCTGAGGTAGATCTCTGCACCAGGAAAGGACACAACACTGGAGACTATTACAATCGGTCATTTGCATTCATATACAAGACCAAATAACTGTGTTTCTCTAGCAGTAATTTGCTTAAGGGGAGCACAGTCATTTAGTCAGAGTGCATCTAACTTTTTTTATCAGTAGTTTATATTTAGAGAGGTACTATATGTGTCTTGGGATATTTGTCCTTTTTGTTTTAATTCAGTAATTCAGAGGCTGCAGAGTGGGATTCCCTGAAACATAAACTTGTTGCTTCTGCACGTGATTATGATTGATTTCATGGTTAAAGTGAGCAATTGATGATATTGTCTCAAGAGATTGCACCATCAGCCAGACAGACTCACACTGACCCAATCTCTTCTTTGCTTATTTTTCCCCCACCCCCACACTTTTGCACAAAAGTGTTGTATGATGTCTGTGTCTGGTTATGACAACTGGTTGTAAAGTTTTCACCTTTCAACGTCAATTCTTTTCTTTTTTGTTGTTGAATGTTTCAGGTTGAGGTTAATCTGGATGATGAAAGTGAGATTAATCGAACCAAACTCCTCTTGAATGCTGCGGCAGATTATGATATGGAAGAAGAAGAAGAGGAGGAGGATGAGGAGGAGGAGGAGGAAGATGAGGAGGGGGATGAGGATGACAACGAACTCGGATTTTTGCCTGAGGAGGATGAGGAGGAAGAAGATTACTGAGATCCATCAGTGTTAGTATTTACACCACTGAAGAAGAACATGAACAGATGCCTGTTATTTGTTCACCTGTTTTGTATTATCACTGAAGACGTTTTATTTATTTGGGTGGAGTAAGTAGCAGTGTCACAATGTCCGGTGCTAGCAATATCTCCTCCTTTGCTGGATTTAAGGCACGTCACCAGGATTTCACACCATGTTAGTCATATGTCAAACTTTGTGGGAAATCTGCTGCTGAAATGCTTTGAGGCAGTGTTATGAGAAACTCATGGCTTTCTAAACATATTGTGTATTTTCGGAGAATGAAAGCATCAACCCACTTTGAGAATTAGAAGGTCTGATGTTGAGATGTGTCTGTTGATGAAAATGTATGGCTGGGCCATATAAGGAGATAGTATGTCTGTATTATGTAAGCACAAAATAAATGTTTTGCATACATTTTCACCAGCCTGTTTTTTACAGTGTACACTTCAAGATAATATCTGTGTTCACTTCGTGTCCTAACCTGACCCGGGCAAATGGGTAGTGCAGTGCAAACACTTTCCACGAGAAAACCATTCAGCATTTTCTAAACAGTTAAAACAATACAGCGAGCCTCACAATAAGGCCAGCTTTCATCCTGACAGCAGGGACAGCTCTGGAGAAGGGTGGTGCTACAACAGGGAATGTATAATAGAGATTGCACAAATAACAGCTGTCTACAGGGTCTGCTAGTCCAGGAGAGAGCTGCCATTCACCCCAAAGTCACTGCGCAGACCTGCAAATGCCTTGTTCGTAAGGTTAACAGGTAACAAATGGGGAAAAATACTGCAAGGATAATATTTTTTTTAAACAAAAGTGGGGGGGGCAGCAGAGATGTGAACATAGGCAGAAGTGTGTAGAATTAGTATGCAGGCACATTACATTTTCAGGCTGTATTTATGCTTTGCCATATTTCTGTTTTCAATTTTTCATGCTTACAGTGCAGTATCTTCTGTTTTGCTATGATGCTCCTGAACACCTGGAAATTATTTGCAAAGATAACTGGGTTTACTTTTAAGTTAAATTTGCAAACAAAAGAAATAGCAGCAATTGTAAGGTCCTCTTACATTTGCCTGTTTGTGAGGAAAAGTTCATCCATTGTTGTGTGATTGTGCACTGTAAATATATCAACCTCTCCAACATTAGCTTTGCTTACAGAGGTGAAACCGTAGTTTGAATGGGATCTGTCTGCCTCAGCAAGATGAGCTCACAGACCATTGAGTCTGAAAAGCTCCATTTGGCTTTGCATTATGGACGTGGGACCCCCCACAGTCCAGCACATTGGATGCTTCCAGACGACTTGGTGATAGTTTATTGTTATTATACCAATTTTACACAGGTTTTATTTGAAAGGTTTGCAAGCATGTGTGCATTTTGGCTTGAATATGACATGTTTACTCCAGACCACGCTTCTTTTTGTCATTAAGTGTGGGTGCTGAATGCTTCTCATCTGTATTTAGGTGGTAGTGAGCGACTGAAGCAGAGTGAGACACGAACTGTGCTGCAGGCTCAAAAGTACCATGCTGCCCCGCTGTGCAGTCGGTGTGTGCCATGTGCTTATGTTGGTGCTGTGTGTGTCTGCGGCTGAGGACTTCGACTGGACAAAGAACCACCACGGCTCCTTCTATTATGGCACTTTTCCAGCTGGTACACACAGTTCGTTTTGTTCAGTGGGGTTACATTTTATTCTTTTTGTATTTAGTGCCATTAGTTCTCCTAAACTGTGATCGTGTAACCCAGATCTGCTAACGTTTTGTTTTTCAGGATTTTCGTGGGGTGCCGGAGGTTCAGCCTATCAAACAGAAGGAGCCTGGGACAAAGATGGAAAAGGACTGAGCATCTGGGACGTGTTCAGTCATAAGAAAGGCAAGATCCAACAAAATGACACTGGGGATTTCTCCTGTGAGGGCTACTACAAAGTCAAGGTAGGGCAATCAGGTGTGGTGTGTCTGAGGTGTAAGGAGAGGAAGGTTTGTAGTTAGGACACCAAGTAATCCAGTGTATGCCTTTTGTGCAGGATGATATTTCTCTGATGAAGGAGCTGAGGCTTAACCACTATCGTTTCTCTATCTCATGGCCTCGACTCCTTCCCACTGGCATAAAATGTGGGTAACTGATGTTAAGCCTTTTGATGAAATAAACTGGCAGAATGTGGTTTTATTTAAAAGTAATCCATGCTAAAACACTCTTTCCAGCTGACCATGTAAATGAAAAGGGAATACAGTACTACGATCACCTGATCAACCACCTACTGGAGAACAAAATCACTCCGATTGTTACTTTGTATCACTGGGATCTTCCACAGGTTTGTAAGCAAAATACAGAGAACCCTCAACTTTGTTCTTAATAACTTTTTAAACAATATGTTTCTTTTTTTTGTTTGTTTTTATAGGTCTTGCAAGAGAAATATGGTGGATGGCAAAATATAAGCATGGTCAATTATTTCAATGAATTTGCTAACCTGTGCTTTGAGAGATTTGGCGACCGAGTCAAGTACTGGATCACTTTCAACAATCCATGGGTACATTTACAAGAAATATTTATACAACAAATACATGCACAAGTTTAACTCCCGTCAGCATTAAAAGTATTGTATTTATGCACATTTATGCACATGTACCAGTCTGTAGCTGTTGAAGGTTATGAGACGGGGGAACACGCTCCTGGACTGAGGCTGAGGGGAACGGGAGCATACAGAGCTGCACATCATATCATTAAGGTATAAGACGTCACTTTTATTCAATTACAGTATAAAAACTACACAGTAATTAATAAAGACTTTAAAGTGAAATGTGAAAAAATACTTTTTTCATAGGCACATGCTAAAGTTTGGCACACGTATGACACACAGTGGAGGGGGAAGCAAAAAGGTAAAGAAAATGAAAGTCAGCGTTTACCACTAAAAAGATTACATTTTCTAATTGCTGAGAGCTCCTGTTTAAATCCGTAGGTCTGGTTGGCATCTCTCTGTCGGGGGAATGGGGAGAACCGGTGGATATCAGCAACCAGAAAGACATTGAAGCAGCTGAGAGATATGTCCAGTTCCACCTGGGATGGTTTGCCACACCGATCTTTCATGGCGACTACCCTCAAGTGATGAAAGACTTCATAGGTATGTTAAACTGTAAATGCTCCTAAATTAGTGTTATTTATATAACAGGAATTAAATAATTGCTATTTGTGGCAATGTGCAGGGAGAAAGAGTGTCCAGCAGGGCCTCGGGACGTCTCGACTGCCCACATTTTCCCCTCAAGAGAAGAGCTACATAAAGGGGACCTGTGACTTCCTTGGCATTGGTCATTTCACCACCCGCTACATCACCCAAAAAAACAACCCATCGGGCCGTAGCAGCAGCAACTACTTTAGTGACCGTGACCTGGCTGAGCTGGTTGACCCAAGATGGCCTGACCCTGGTTCAGAGTGGCTCTATGCCGTGCCCTGGGGTTTTAGACGTCTGCTCAATTTTGTCAAGGTTACTCATTGATATTTGTGCTACATACTCTTTACTTAAAAAAAAACAAACTCATATTGATTTCATCCTCATCTAGACTCAGTATGGGAACCCAATGATTTATGTGACTGCAAATGGAGTCTCTGAGAAGATGTTATGCACAGAGCTTTGTGATGAATGGAGGATAGTGTACTACAAAGACTACATCAATGAGATGCTTAAAGGTGAATGAGCTCACATGTATTGAACAAAAAATGCAAAAATGTGCCCACTGTCTTAAATTGAAATTACTTTTTTGTAGTTATCAAGCTCTTTGATCTCTTTGTCACCCAGCTATCAAAGACGGAGTCAATGTGAAGGGCTACACTGCATGGTCGCTGCTGGACAAATTTGAGTGGGATGAAGGTTTCTCTGAGAGATTTGGCTTGTACTATGTGGACTTCAGGAACAAAAACAAGCCTCGCTATCCCAAAGCTTCTGTTCAGTTTTACAAACGCATTATCAGCTTCAATGGATTTCCCAATCAAAGAGAGGTGAGCAGAAAGGACTACAAAGCCCTGCCAGTCTGAGGGGTTTTTCATTACATGGTTTATTCTGATTATATTTTACTGTCTTGTGAACCTCCACAGGTTGAAAACTGGAGGCGAAAGGCAGTTGAGACGTGCTCTTCCAGCAATCAGCTTCTAGCTGCAGGTCAGTTCGTCTGTAACATCATTGACCATGTTCCTCACTATATAGGGTTGAACAACTAGCAGGGGTAAACAAATAAAGATTCTTGCCTAAAATATGGAAAAAACAGCAAACAAACAAACAAAAAAATGTCCTAAAAATTTGAACACTATAACAATGAAAATAATAAATGTTTCTTTTCTTCAGCCATCTCAGAACATGCACGGACAAATAGTGTTAAGAAGAATAATTGAAATTTAAAAATTGATTAGTAGAATCTGTTACAGGCGATCTGAGATATCTTCTTTGTTTGCCCCTCCAGCTAGAAGAAAATCCCAGGAACATGCAGAAATGCCAAAGGTTTGGCCTGTGCATGATGAAGTTTAGAACTTGAGGGTATATGCTTCCTATTTCTAACAATCTGATTTCTTTTTTCTCTTTTGTCGCTTTGCAATTGTGTGTTTACAATTCTGACTAACAAGCTCCTGCGTTTAACACCTGCCATTAAACACAAGCTTTTGCTCCTTTTAAAAGAGCTTTTTTAACAAAAACTCGCAAACAGGCATAAAGCAAAGCGGTACACTTCAGCCCACGGGATATTTCACAAAGCAGAGATTAAAAATGTAACTGGGTAATGTAATAGCACCAATAAAGTCAGTGATATATCTGAGCTGAAATCAAAATTTCAAACATAAGCCTCACCTGCTTGCTGATGGCTTGTAATATTAAGTCATTTTCAGAATACTGCTTTTAATAGTCATCTGGTAAAAACACTGCTTTCTGAAATATTCCCTTGTAGCTGCATGCAGTTCTCAAAGGGTTAAAGTGCCATTAATCAACTCTGAGTACTTTCTCTTCTTTTATTAGAGGAACAGCGGAGTTCTGCTGCCAATATTCTAAGACTTATACATGGTAAGGAATCCCTATGCTCTCTATGAATTAGACCAAAATTGTGATTCCGGGACAAGTATTAACCCTTTGAGTGCTGTGCTTGAGCTTTCGCTTCACTGGCAGTGTTTGGACGATATAACGATGCCCATAAGTTTTTAATGAGTGTGCGTGTGTGTGTGTATGTGCTTTGCAGACCCTTTGACCAGCCACATGGAGATGGTGACTGAGATCGTTGTTCCCACTGTGTGCACACTCTCCATTTTGCTCAGTGCCATCTTCCTCATGTTCCTGCTGCGGAGGCGTAACTAGGAAGGCTTTCGTGTTTATACATCACAAGCATCGGCACACACACATATGCACACACTTAAAATGTAAGTGCATCACTTCTTTATTGGATAACGTGTGAATATAAATACATCATTTGAGCTGAACTGAAAGAACTGGTGATTTTTATCGATTTGATGTGTGTAAAGCGTTTTGCTCTAAAATGACTGGTTTTGCGTAGAAGGAAAAAGGAGTCAGAGTTTCTAATTAAACTGCTACTATAGGATACTGGTATTGCAAAGACGCCAGGTGATCTACTGATCTACTTTCATTTGGATACAGCTAAGTTGTTTGGCAGAATATTTCCTGTCTTTCCTTGAGCAGCAAAATGTGAAAATAAAGATGTGACTGGAAAAAACATATACACACAAAAAACATATACACACACACAAAGGACTGAAATTTGCTGTTGAGGCGTTAGTAGCATGTTTTATAAATTCATGCAAAGTTGACAAGGCTGCAGTACGCCATAGTGGAGAAGAAAGCAGGATCCTCACTGTCCCCATTCACGGTTTGATTTGGATAGTCTAAAAACAAAAGAATAGTTAAAGAAGAATATTGTTATCGATACTTTACTGGGGCAGCCACTTATATATTCAGTAAATAAAAATCACCTGTTTCAAAGATGACATGATCAACCAGTGGTCTGTCACTAAGATGTAAGGAGGTCCTGACCTCACGAGGACCATGACCACTGGACACCTCAACCCCCCACAGTATTGGGTGCTCCCTGTAGAGCACAAAGATGAACACAGAAAAACTCAATTCTGTGTAAAAAAAAGAAAGAAAAAGCCTAACATCTACCAATATATCCTTTGACTTTCAATAAATGTTTTATGTGGTTTCTCGCAAGCCGTTGAGATCTCTGTTTTCAACACTCCACATAATAGACTGCCAGAATTCTGCGGGCGTCACATTCAGGTCGACTTTTATGTGCCGTTCAGTCGAGATTGGACTGTGGTGAGGTTTACAGGCCTGACATTTTTGCTTGTTAAGTGTTTTTCCCCCGCCTTCGTCAGGTCCTTCCTGCATGTAAAGGTTTGCAATACTACATTGCCTTTTGAACTAACATCCCAACCGTGTCTCGTTCAATTTGAAGTGTCTTGGAAATCTTCAGTTGAACCGTTGTCTTTTGGCACAAAGGAATAATTGGCTCTCTTGGCATTTGTGACAGCTCCTTTAAATCTGTCATGTTTGCACCTCAGCTTGAGGTGAGAGATTTAGATCGATAATATAACCGAAGCATGTTTAGTGTCATCACTGAGTTGCCAAAAGATTGATTGCACTTTGCAGTCTGCTAGCATTATATACTATTAGATGATTAAAAACCCCAACAACAAAGACGGATTAAAGAACTGAAATCTACAATAAAGAATTGTTGCATATTTTCATTATCAATATGATTATGTCCACTATAAAAATGTCATATTCACAAACAATAAGGTCAAATATCCCAGTTTCACAATAAAGCAGGCAGTAAAAAAGGCTTGCATTCCTTACTTTTGGTAGAAATGACTGATCAGGGCAGGTTTGATTTGGAGTTTGAACTCGTGCTCTTCATCATAAGGTGACGTTCTGTAGTGCTGCAAACACAATCTATGTGACAGGAAAGGGGGGGAAACAGGAGAGGGAATTGTTTATTTAAATACTAGTTTAAAAGAAGAAATACTTCTGCACAGTCACATATCACTGGGGCAGAAAAAAAGTCAAAAGATTTACTGCGTGAGAAGAAAGAGACGATCGTAGGGCAAACCAAGGAATGTGCTGCAGGTCACAATTATTTCCAGCAGATGGTGCAGTTTCCTGAGTCGGATCACTTGTTCCTGCAGATCAACCTCCGTGCTGAGGTAAAAACACTGTGGAGGAAATTACTCAGAGTCAGTACTATGCTGACAGACACTTGAAAAGAACTGAGAAACAGTGTAAAGCTTACCAAGTGGTTTAAAGTTGTCAGTTCTTCACCTAAGAAACAAACACAAATTGCAAATGGCCTATCATCCAAAGAGTGTAACACAAACACAGAGTCAAAGAAAGAGCTCCAAATGAATAATTAAAGGTTACCAATCAGGTAGTTAATATAGTCTTTTCTCATCTTATCCAGACCCATCTCCAGCAGCATGTTGACAGGCGTGAAGCCTGTAAGAGACACATGTTCGATCTGCTGGTGGTACGACTGCAGAATGAGCTTGCTGAGGGAACTGCTGCTGTCTCTGTGAATCTGGATGATGTGAAACAAAAAACAAACAAAAAAAATTAATCAATGAATTAATAAAATAACAACTGCAACATCCAAACTCATCTAACTCCAAGTTTTCAAAAGCGGAAATGTTTTATGTTGTTACCCAGGGTTTGATGTCACCATATCTTAGAGCGTCAATGACCAACTTCAGGCAGTCTCCAATGTCCTGATATGAAGTCACACCTGCAATACAAAGTTTTTTTCTGTCTGTTTGTAAAATGCTAAAATCCATCCCAGTTTCCTGAATGGAAGGCCTAACTCACTTTTTCTCATCCGAACCCAAAGCTGCTCCACAAAATCCAAATCTCCTCTTTCCAGGAACGAGTTGAAAATGGGAGTTTCTGTCTCAGACTTCAGCTTCGAGGTCTTCTGAAAAAGATGGAGAGGAAAAAAACCCAAGACTCTAGCAGATATATTGTGAAATTAATGTTTTAGTGATAATGGCTCCATCCTACCTCGGGCGTTCTTGCAGCCTGATCCTGCAGTGTTTTTGCAGTGTTCTGTAGCTCTGAAAGAAGAATTAAAAATGAAAAAATAATCATAAGTACCAGGTAGCATTACATCAGATTTACAATGTATTGATTCAGCAGTGCTTCGTGCCTTCTAGGTAAGCCTTGGTCAGATTTACAGGCGATGTGCTTTCCAGCGGTTCTATCCATTCAGTCTCACCAGTTCTCAAACCATCAGCGAGAGTCTGAAAAATCAGGATTCAGATATATTTAGTTATTTATGTGGATGCTGGTAGTTGCTGTCATTTTAGATTACAGTGGAAGACAAACCAGTAGAAACTCCAGCTCCCTATACATCTCAAACATGGGACTTCTCATGTCTCCACTGGCAATTTTGATATTCTGCATAAAAAAAGATAAACACATTAAAAAAATCAGTCTGTGTCTGTTCAGCTTCATCTGCTGGTACTACTTCCAGATACATGTTTTCCTTTTCTATTCATAATAGCATATTAATTAAATAGAAATATAAAAAGTAAGCTTTTTAAGGGAAAGAAGGGATTATTATAAGAGGTCATTATTGCTGCTCACTAATGTTGCTGTAGAGGACAGGGGTGGGGTCTCAAGAATACTCTCCACATGGCTCCATTTGAAATCCACAGTCACGCTGCTCTGAGACTCAATGGTGGTGTTTTCAACAACAGTGGAACCAAACAGGCTGAACCTGGCACTGCCTTTAATCCCCACCTAGAAGTATTTATCAGTGTAAGAACACGGGCATTCGTTCGCACAGACAGACTTGCAAAAGAGGATGAAAACTGAAATACCGAGGATGGATGATGCCGTTTCTTATGCTCTTGCTTCAGTTCTTCTAAGGTTGTGAGGGATTGTTTGTCTGCAGTTGAACCTAAAAACATTAACATCAGGAAAATAAAAACAAGTGATACAAATACATACAAATCATCAGTATCATGGGTTATTCAAAGAGGAGTGATGTTTCTAAGCAATACCTTTGGAGGTGATGGAATACAGTTTGACACCAGTAACTTTAGTGCCCACGCAGACTGTTTCAGCCCCAAACCAGGTCGTTCCAGCAGGATCAGACATGTCGCATCGCACCCACAGAGGGTATAAAGGAAGGTTCGTGTCCTCAGCTGACATGCTGGCATTTTGAGATAATGTATACCAAGAGAGAAACTGTCTGTACAAAGAAGAAGAAAAAAACGTTGTCAGATGTGGTGGATTAAATATGCACATCTTACCAGCGCATATTTCTTTTGCAATTAAATTTTAAACGTCTTAGCACTAATCACCTTGCTTTCATGACTGAAAGTGGCTGCGGTCCCATTTCAGTTTGAAGTATGTGGGCACTGTCGTTAGCATCATCAGCATCGCCGTCAGAAAGGTTTGAAGCCTCGGTCATTTGTTCGTCACCTGGATCGCTTATTTTTGAAACCTTAGTTAAATCAGAGCACAATTCAATGGTGAGCGACGAGGAGGAGACTGGTTAGTCATCTAAGCATACATTCAGTGTTTTAATATTCCTACAATTGGGAATTTTGGAAACACTACTGGCCCAGTTTCAGCTTGAAAACTCTGGAACTCAGGTTTTATTCTGGACGGAAAGACTTTTTGAGATCATGGAGTGAATGTGTGTCTGCATCCTTTTTTCCAAAAGTCTCTGCCCATCTAGACTAAAACGCAGTCCTGAACCCTGTAACAGTGAAGCTCTACATGCCCAGTTATCTTTCCATTATCTAAGGGCAGCATTGACAGCATCTGACCAATTAGAAACATTGATAAGTCTACTGTCAACGGAGTGAGTAAATTTTACAAAGGAAAACAAAACCAGGAAAGCCGGTAAAAAGGAAGAAGAAAGGAACTATGTACGTTAAGAGACTTCTCAGTATCAGTGCTCTATCATTAAGACAAGGGAGAATCTGGTGGACACATCCATTCATTTTCTACTGCTTATCTGGGATTTGGTCACCGGGGCAGAAGTCTCACCAGGGAAGCCAAGAGTTCCCTTACATTGGCCACCTCTTCCAAGTCATCCAGGGGTGACACCGAGTTGTTCCCAAGCCATCTGAGAGATATAATCTCTAGGTCTGTCCTGGGGGCTCTTCTCAATAGGACATGCCTAAAATACTTCAGCTAGGAGCCATCGAGAAGGTATCGTAGTCAGATGCCTGAACCACCTCAACTGGCTCATTTCGATATGGAGGAGCAGCCGCTCTACTTTGAGCCCCTCTGAATTGACTGAGCTCTTCACTCCATCTTTAAGGAAGAGACCAGCCACCCTTCAAA